GAGAATTGTTGAAAAATTCCATTTATAAATAAATGGAAACCTGTAAATGGTTAAAGAAAGAGAGTACTAGAACTCGAGATTTACGGCTCCGAGGACTCGGTTTTATAGTATATATCTTAACCTAAGTTCCATCTTCTTCCATGATTCCACGCAAATGCTTTGTAGCTACCAATAAGTTCGCTTGAAGTTGAAACTATGCTTCACAAAAGGTACGTATAAGACAAAGTCGAAGCAGTGTAGTTCAACAAACAAAAGTTGAAAGTATTACTTCAAATGTCAAATGCATAACCATGTTTTTCACTGTATAATTCCAAACTGTCATTCTATCTGTCGTTGGTGCGGTCTTCATCTATGTATTCACCGAAGAATAGTGGCGAGCTCCTAGTCATGTGTCGATGGATGGACCGTCACCAAAGTAAGTCCACTTCCCGTCACAAAGGGGCATCTACAGTGACGAAAGTGCTCTGATTGGACGAATTTTTGTGCCCATTTTTTCCATATTTTTTAAGCTTGAGCCATCAAATTGGTCTTCCGAATGTGAAATGAATCTTATTCCCACGAGGTCTAGGCCAGGCAACAAGCTCATTATTTTTCACCTTACACATGGAAAAACACAAATGGGTACATACCCATTGTTGAACTTGGGAACTAGAAATGCATGACCAACCAAAAATATCTATCAACGACGACCGTCTACATTTAGTGACACCAAAAAAAGATAAAAAGGCACGACGTTGGTTTTTTTCCCACCCGTTATTATAATAATATTAGGATAACATATGATACATCGTCACTTAATCCGAGTAATTAATTACATATGGGGAAGCTACGTGAACGTAATTATGGGCTAATTTCGAGCGTCAGAATCGCATTCTCGTCAACGTCCGCCACTTCCCAACGGCTGGAGAGACTCTGGACCTCATTCTTGTGTCCCTCATACGCTGTACCAACGTTTTGCAAGGTTAAGAAAAGAGAGCCTCCCCTACCATCTTCTACAAGCCATGGAGACCGTTGCTCCGTTCTTCTTCGCTGTTCACATTGCTTGTTAGCGATATTATAATGCTTACCTTTGACTCTCCCTATCTCTTACGCATATACCTGCATTGATTGATTCTAATTGGTATAATGTTTATCTCATCACCCTTATAGCCTATAAATAAGCTCATGTACTCTTTATTATGACACACATCGTAATATACAGCAATTGGGAAAATTACCAAAAAAGTCCTAAACTTTTTGCAATTGTGCCAATTCAGTCTTAAACCTTTTTTTTTGCCATTTCGGTTCTAAACCTTTTACAATTGTGCCAATGCAGTCCATCCAGCCACTTTTGGCCGGCCGGCGCTGACGTGGACGCCGGCCGGCACCGACGTTATTTTAATATTTTTTTTCCTTCTTCCCCCTGGCCGGACCGGCCAGGGGGAGGCTCACCGGTGAGGTGACCTTGCCGGCCATGGCGAGGCCGACCTCGCCGGCCATGGGCGAGGTCGACCTCGCCCGGCCATGGCGAGGTCGAGCTCGCCGGCCATGGGCGACGGCGAGGTCTCGCCCAGATCTGGCGAGACCTCGCCATCGCCGGGCGAGCTCAACCTCGCCCGGCCATGGCGAGATCGAGCTCGCCGGCCATGGGCGAGGCCGAGCTCGCCCGGCGACGGCGAGGCCGAGCTCGCCCGGGCGACGGTGAGGCCTCGTCGTCGCTGGGCAAGGTCGAGCTCGCCCGGCGACGGCGAGGTCTCGCCCGGCGACGGCGAGGTCTCGCCCAGCTCGACCTCGCCATGGCCGGCGAGCCTGCCAGGGGGAAGAAGGAAAAAAAATATATATATATATTAAAATAATGCCACGTCAGCTGGCCGGCGTCCACGTCACCGCCGGCCGGCCAAAAGTGGCCGGATGGACTGAATTAGCACAATTGTAAAAGGTTTAAGACTAAAATGGCAAAAAAAAATGTTTAGGACTGAATTGGCACAATTTCAAAAGGTTTAGGACTTTTTTGGTAATTTTCCCTACAGCAATTTCACAAGCCTCTCTTCTACATTATTTCTTATATGTGTCAATGCATTTTGCACGACTAGCTTAAACAAATTTGTCTGTTGTCATATAGTCCGCATTCTCTATCTATCTCGCGTCGGTTACGTTTCGAATGCTGCCTATTGTGGCATCGAGGTCATGGGGGATGTGATGCCTCTGATGTATCTCTGATCTCCCACGACACCCGATGTCTCGGTGCTCGTAGATAAGTTTGCGCAACCAGCCTCCGACAAGCACGACATGTTCTAAGGTCTTGTGAGCGTGTATGAGCTGCAAGCATTGCGAAAAGGCAATATCAGGTTGACGATGGAGATAACATGGGTGGTTGAATGAGAATTCCCACGTCTAAGGTCATTGTCCATGTGCGTGTATATTAAATTACGTAAAATCATGCCTTTAATTGCCATTTGCTACCGAAGTCGTGCAGATGATGCCCCTTCTCTAAGGGAAGAGCAACATGATAGAATTCGTTAACAAACCCCATACAAGAACTTCAGCTGGAGGTCTCGTGGATCAAAATAGAAATTATTGTTTAGGAATGTGTGCCGAAACTCAATAAACAGAATACACAATGAGATGAGGTGAGGGACCAAATGAGAAATGACTGGTAAAGATGTATTCAATTAAGCCAAGGTTGATTTAGGTAGAGCGATTTTTCTCTGAAAATATTTCTTATAAGGGATAAGTGCTTTGGATATCTTAAAATTTGTGATGAAAGTGCAATTGAATCATAAAACTTTCAAAAAGTACAATCAAGTTTTAAAATTTGTCAAGTGGGTGCAATCAGATCATAAAATTTGGATTTAATTGCACCGACTTGTTGTAAGACTTGATTGCACTTTTTAAAAAGTTTTAGAATTTAATTGCACTTTTGTGATTAGTTTTAAGACTCGATTGCACTTTCGTGATAAGTTTTAGGACTTTTAGTACACTTACCCCTTGTTAAATCCTAACAAAACCACTCTAAAAACCTCTTAGCACGTTCACGTGACATTTCCTGTCGGTTGAAATACGAGATGGTCGTGAACATGCACATCCGTCTCCATCAGGAGCATGTGGGCCTTAGCGATGCAAGAACGCTGGAGCTCTGTAGGGTCTTTTTTAGGTCAACGAAAACGAAGCTGTCATCATTCCGTATGCAGGCGCGTCATCGCGGGCGTGCTTGCTCTGACTATTGAAGAGTCGCGAACACGTTAGGACATCGAGGATTGACTTGAAGTGACGCTGACCGTGAACTTGTCCCTAACGCTAGCTGTCCATTTGCAGCATACCATGCAGACGATCCGTGACAATGGAGGAACGACCGTGAAACCAAAAAAACATGCCGATCATCAGTACGCATACGCAATTCAATCTCGACATGTACGTAGTTTCGACGAGCGAAAGCTCCAGTGTTGATCGACCCTCGACTCTTCTCGAGCTGTTCTAGGTAGTAAGTCTTTTTCCGTAGCCAAATTGCTTTGCGCCTTGTTTGTTCTCACGTTTTTCTCGACAACGTGCACCATCAAGCACCTGTCTTACAAGAGAGAGAGAGAGAGAGAGAGAGAGAGAGAGAGAGAGAGAGAGAGAGAGAGAGAGAGAGAGAGAGACTTTCGTCTAAGAACTGGTCACCTATACACTATACATATGATTGTGATGTGTGGAATTGGTAAGTTTGATTCAGAGAGTGTTCTGAATTGTACCCCAACGAGTAAGTCGATTCTTCTTTCTTTAGAAGAAATTGCCAAACCCCCTTTTTCTTTTTGCTTAAGATTAGTGTGAAAATGAATCGATTTGCTTTCCCGAATTACATGCCGATTCTTTGTTACCATAAAATGATATAATATATAGTTGGGAAGCATTTTTGGTGGGGCATGGATTATAGAGAAATTAGAGCGTGTGCCAAGGGGTGAAGAACAGTTTCTTAACTACGAGTTAAAAAGCACGTTCTTAGCTGTAAAAAGAGCTTACGCAAAGGAGTGCCTTAACAAGTTTCCTAGTACGTGATTGATTGACCTTCGGATGGGTCGTCTTCACTAAGCCACCGAAATGATTGACTGTATATATCAAAGTTAATTGACTCAACTTCGTAAAGAAAAGTCCAGCCGATGCTTCTTTACGTCTTAAGCTTCCAGAAAGTCAACTGAGTAAATTTGTTTATTCGCTTGTTATCTACTCCATATTCCAATTCGTGTCTCGTTCTGGCTTTCATGGTTTTTGGACGTACGCGCATGTGTTTCAGGCAACGGATGCTCAGCTTGGAGAAAGTCTATACCTACTATCGAAGAATTATGTGCACACGGGAGGAAAAGAACAGATAAAGTTCAAAAGAAGGAAGGTGCAAAGTACATAACACTATAATAGCATAAGAGGAATTCGAATTATTGCCAGCATTTTGTGTTGTCGCATTCTTGGAGATCAATTAATGTCATTACTAAGCTCAGTGTGATCGGAAAGAACAATGTGAAGCTACGTTATTTGACTTTTTAAATATCGCTTCACACGATAAGCCATCTGATGATGCAAAGCGGCTACAGTCCAGTCTTGACTCCGGGGGTGCCCGTGATCCAAAGTCGAATTTTTAGGGCCGTCGGTAGCTTCGGACCCGAGAGCACCGGATCGAAGTTAGGGGGAAAGAGTCGCGACCGACGCTCAGACATCGAGAGTTGTCTCGACCGTGACGATACGGACATTTCTTTTTGGTAATCGAGAGAAGACGAGTATCCAACGGTGCCATTCTCGACACAACGGGCGAACGATTTCGTCCACGGAAAGTAAGGGCAAAGACGGATTAGCTCCGAAATGGAGACGTGGGCTTCCCCGCTGTACCCATCGGCCCGGAGCGGCCCGAACATCATTCGGCCCAATGGGCCTTGGTTCTGTCCTGAGGGCCCAAAGTCACAGTTTGGGCCCATGATCACTTCCTCACGGAGCACAACCCAAAAAAAGAAAAAAAAAAAAACGATGGGGGTAGAGAGAGAGAGACAAAGAGAGAGAACAGCCACCAGCAAGGGAAGAGGAGAGAGAGGAGAAGGAAATCCCTGAAAGCCTCCTCCATCGAGAGCCTGCGAAACCCTAGGGGAGAGAGAGAGAGGGGAAGGAAAGATGAGCGGCACGGCGAAGAAGGCGACGGACGTGGCGTTCAAGGCGTCGAGGAACATCGACTGGGACGGCATGGCGAAGCTCCTCGTCTCCGACGAGGCCCGCAAGGAGTTCGCCAACCTCCGCCGCGCGTTCAACGAGGTCAACTCCCAGCTCCAGACCAAGTTCAGCCAGGTACCCCCGAAATCTCCCGATTCCCGCCTGCCCTTCTTCCGTAGATTGGCGATCGTCGGGGCGGCTCGTGGCGCGTCTTTTCCGATCAGTAGATCTCTGGAGCTTTCGATTATCTGTGCCAGGGCTGCGATTCGCTGTTCGATTCGATCTGATTCGGAAGGGAATGCTGTTTTCGCAAGCTGGTGGACTGTGATGATTTACCTCGTTCCGGCATATCATTTCGATATGCTTCTGCTGAAATAGGGATTCGGTTGCCTCTTATCTGCTTTTGGAGTGCCGGGCATGAGCTGATGTTCTGGTTCGTTTGTACATTTCCGCTGTTATGGGCTATCTGAGCTGCCTCTTTTGCGGAAATGTGGTTATTGTAAGGACGAACTCATCGTTTCTGCTCGTCGTAGCGTGCGACGGACAGCATCGCCTGTTTCGAATTCCTTGAATTTGTTGGCGGGAAGTGTAGCGGCAATGGTGATTGAAGCGATAGCATTAGCCATGGGTGGCGGTGGTACTCATGGTGCTTGGCCTTATTGCTTTTTAGCTGATCCTTTGTCTGTTTTTTTCCCTACTCTTTTGCTTGCAGGAACCTGAACCCATTGACTGGGAATATTATAGAAAAGGAATTGGGCCTCGCTTGGTGGATATGTACAAAGAGGCTTATGACAGTAAGTTGCCCCGACTCCTGCTGAACTGATCGACGCACTTGTTCTCTCGGATGCGATGCATTTTTGTAGGATGGACAGACGAAAAGAGATGCTCAGCTCACTATTTTTGGTTTGATTATCTGATTGTTTGCCTGTAACTTAGGTATTCGCTTGTGCTAAGTGCAATTTCACTTATTTCTATGTTGTAATTTCTCTGAGTATCGCCGCTGATGCATTGCCAAGGGAATCATCTGAAATGAAGGCAATTAGGCATGTGGATTTGATTAAGTGAATTATTTTGAGGAATCCAATTAGAGTTGTTCTGCGTGTAAGTGGCCAGCTAAGTAGCATTCCATAAATTACATGATGAGCTTGATGGAAATGGTTTTACTTTGGTGAAAATAAAATATAAGGTCCAGATTGGACATAGTGAGAAGAATTTCTGGACATAGAGGCATGGTGTATTCTAAAGATTGACCTAAATTTGGAGAACAAACAGCCCTTGGTTACATTTCACTGCAAATTACGCAGATTGCTGGTGGAGTCTTCTTCTACTCTTGGACATATGTTTGCTCTGAAGTGCAATACTGATAATTTGGTGGAACATTTCCATGTTTTCTTTCTGAATTCTCTGAGCAAATTAGGCAATGTGGAGCATTTTTAAGAGTTTATAATCTCACAGCGTTTCATTTGCAGGCATAGAGATCCCCAAGTTTGTGGACACAGTCACCCCTCAATACAAGCCAAAGTTTGATGCGCTGGTGAGAGTTAAAGCTGGTCCTGACTTTTTAAGGACTTATCAAAAACCAAATCCCTCCAATACATCTCTTGTCTATGTCTGTTTCAGTTGGTGGAACTGAAAGAGGCAGAGCAGATGTCCCTCAAGGAGTCCGAGCGACTGGAAAAGGAAATCGCAGATGTGCAAGAGTTGAAGGTAGCAGATCGCCCTTTGTTATTATGTTCCCCCTAGTGAGATAAGGTAATAAATCACTTGCAATTTTTAAGCGCTCTCTCACACTGTAATTATTCAACAGAAAAAGATCAGCACCATGACTGCCGATGAATACTTTGAAAAGCATCCTGAGCTGAAGAAGAAGTTTGATGATGAGATCCGCAATGACTACTGGGGATATTGATGAAAAAATGTGCAGATCAATGCCGGTTCCTTACAGGTTGGCCAGAGTTATTGAAGATTGTGTTCTGCCTGTTTGATTTAAAATAAAATTGAGAGAACTCTTTTCTTCTCTATCTTCTTGCTTTGGGTTTGAGGAATTATGACCTCGCAACGACTTCAATGCTGGAAAAACTTGAGTTTTCATGTGAAGCAATAGATGTCCGTTTTCCCCAATAATAGCCACTCCTTTTTGCTGTGAAAATGGCGGTATACCAGGCGGTATCATTCCTTAAACTATTTCTATCCACAGTTAGTGGAGTCGAGGCTTTAAGTTTAGAGTATGGCCTGCATTTTTCCTTATATTCGTAGTTTGACACTACTTTAATACCTGATTCTTCTTGTGCTACTAGAATATGCTAACCAATGGCTTTTGCCATGGTGGATCTGCCATGAACTTCCATTAAAATAGGCGCATCATGTGAAACTTTTTCGGTAATAGTGCATGAGGTGATGGGTTGTGAAAAAATATGAACAGCAACTCGAAATGCTGTCATCATAGTTAAGCCGGGGAAGAACCATTGTGTGCTTACAAGTATGGACTGAGATGGCAGCAGATGATGTTGGATGCATCTTCTCTGCATCGTTTGATTGCTGGCAAGATTGGATATGATGCTAATACATAATATTGGGGCGCACTGTGACGGTCATGTTGGTTGTGAGAGTTGTTCAATTGAGACATCCCTAAATTGTGAAAACCCCAGAATTTCACCTTCAAGATTCTTGTATACATACATCAACCCATATTGACCTTTGTTTGGCTCCCATTTGATCAATCACCAAGAGGGTCAAGTGCCAAACAGCAGAGTTCGACTTCGAACGGCTCTTCCCAAGCGTAGCCATTTCTAGCCTCGACGAAGACAATTCTCCTAAGCCCTGTCCGAAGACTGGTATGGGTCGCCTATTGGACCTTATGAAGCAACTCGACTGCTCTTTTCTAAGTGGAATCGTAGATATATCATCCCACTGCCATCTGTATTAGGTAGAACAATCTTGAATTAAGCAGGTTGTCAACACAATTTGGTTGAATTGACGAACAGCCTAAGTAAGACTTTTAAGTAGAACAACCTCGTTAAAAGCCTCTACTTGGAGATATAGAGGCAGAGGGAGGGAGGAGAACAGGAGAAGCAACCATCACCCGAAGCAATCCCATTTAAAGTTCCAGGTCTCTATTGAGTTTCGAATTGCGCAGATTGCTCTAATACATCATCCAACTGAGATTACGAAGAATCAGACAGGCTTTATCTGAGCCTAAACGAGTTAGGCATGACCTCCATGGATTCTCTACGATGATAAATTGGTTTGACCGTTAAATGATGAGTACAATCTAATTGTCTTTACTCAGAAGGTGAACAGACAGAGTTCCCATAGAGGAAACACTAGCTATAAAATCACAACTACGTGTAAAATCAGTCTCCATCGCTCGATTACTCATCTCTCGTAGTAGAAAATAGCTTACTGTGACTGTGAGATCCCATGGGATCAAGTACAGAATTGAAGGAGGGCAATCGTCAACCAAAGGGCATACTGCACAACAAGGGTTGAACAGAAATCGCGATATATGTAGGAACGGAAGTGCACAGACTAAGTAAATTGAACTTGATCGAAATAACTGCACAAATGTACAAAAGAGAGAATTTTGAGTACATTACAAAACTTAAAGCAGAACAGTTGCACTGTCACCAAGGGCAGAAAACTACATCACAGTTACTGACAAAATTGTATCCAGAGATGTCGACAGATGAAAACTGTTAAAAAGTGTGGAGAAGAAAATTCAAAATTTCCCGGCGGCATTAGCATGCTATATGATTGGGATATGTGGTAAAATCTTCGGTCAAAAACCTCACCCAGAATTGGTTAGCTTCTTCTGAGACAAAGCGTTGGTAGCAGCTACCTCCTCATTTTTGTCCATGGCCTTCCTTGCAAGCTCATAGCCTGCAAAGTTCATGGCTCCCAGCGGAGCTATCCAAAAGAATCTGGGCACTGCCCCTTTAAATAAGCCTAGAGGGCCCTCACGACGTAGTATTGAGAAAGCTACCATAGTCATTGATACCGGTCGACCCTGTGGAGCAGTCATCATTCTTGTTTTTATGACATCAAAGGGTGTGGTAGTAACAGCAGCTAGCCCGCCTGATAGAGCTCCAACAACAATTGTTTCCCACGGCTCCAACTCCCGACCCAGAAGATGCTGGACAAGCTGATGAAAGCATACAGAAAGAAAGAATTAATCTGTTGATCAAACTTCAACACTGTCTCCAACCACACAAAGTAGTGATAAACGGTACGAATCCAGTATTTGACCATAGGAGAGGAACTACATGAAACACAATAACAGTTAAAAAAATCAAACTGTAAAGAAAGTGAGTGGACCTCGATCAATTATAAAACGACTTGAGACAAAAATGAAGAATATGATTTGCTCACACTCGACAGATACCCAGATATCACTTGGCTGTCATATCTATCATGTAAATGGAAAGAGGTATTTCTCAGTTTCACAATTCAACCAACACAAAGCTAAAGCATGCATTACAGGTTTAGTTCTCAAGTGGCCACCAGCACAAGCATTCTTGAAACAATCGCAAAAGGAGTGTTCACATTCTCCCAGGTAATGGATAAGTAGTGCCATCCCATTCTGCATCAATGGTAATAAGGCACATCCTTCACACACCTCTCAACTGCTGCTCAATATCCAATATACATGAATAACAAATGAGAATATTGACGTCTTCCATCTTGAAACAGACAATTATTTCACGTGAATATCCAGTCACAGCAATACATGTGAAATCGAGCAGATAGATCCCATGTCATATCGTCCGATTCGCACACATTATACAAGGTCAACTTTTCAGCAGGCAGCAACCTGCGATACTTTATTACATTGGCATGCATAAAATTACATGATGGTACCTCCTACACACTGAGGCACGGTGGCATGACTACTTGTGTTATTCTACTGTCTAATGTTCATCCGCCAACAACAGAAGTATAATCGTCCATTCAGTCGGTGCATCATTGAAAAGTGGTACTTCGACCAACCGTAGCTCATGATACATAGCTATAATTAACAAATTATCTACGGCATACCTCGATACGTTCATTTTTCTTCAAATACATATGCAAACGAATAGTCCAATAACAAGGTGCACAGCATGTAATGATCGATCATGGGTTATTTTTCATATCATCCTCTAAACAACAATGGAATACTCCTTACGGAATGCAAATTTGTAAATTTCTTATCATACTCAGACCTGTCCAAAACCTTAGCCATAAGTTCGCAAAGGAGGAGGTAAGAAGATGAAAGTTCGGGTGGAAAATGGGAAAACATTTAAAATTTTGGTGAGAGGAGGGAATATTCAAAATTTTCGGCATTTCCACCCAGACAATGCAAAATCCTTAGCAGGACTTGTGCCACTGGCATTGACATAGAGATACAAAGGTACATTACCTTTTTTGACTCAGCATAAAGTCCCATGCCAGCAACATAGAATGGAACCTCTCGACAAAGGGTAGCACCAGTACCCCGGAAAAAGCCTTTAGGACCATCATGCTGCCAGGTACCAACAATAGCCTCCCCGACATTATCGAAAATTCCGGCCTGCAACCTCTGCTTTAGGACCTCACAAGGAATCCGCACTGCTGTCCCAAGAAAAGTGCTACAAAATGATGCTAGAGATTGGACCTGACAATTATAATAGCTTCATATTAACTCTAGAACTTATCAAAAAGTGCCTCTCCTTTCAAAGGCACAATTCATACATCTTATTCGGAAATTGCTGAAGCTGACGCAACCACAATGGAACAAACACATCCCCACGGGCATGTGCATGCTCATACTAAAAGAAACAGAGCATCTTAATGAATTAAAGGGTAAGCAAGAAACCAGCAAATAATGAAAGCAGTAGAGTACGTACTAATAGAAAATTTCTATAATTGAGAGCTGTTGTAGTTTTCTTTTGATCTCATTGATTATGAATGATGTTACTAACAGATCCTGCGAAAAATAATAAAATGAAAGTGGAAATGGTAGGACTTACTTGGATATCTGGGAGATTTGGCGCCACATTTATCAATAGGAGCTTGCTGGCTTCGAATATTCCTGTTCTAAGGCCATGGCTGCAGTTTAAAAAGAATGTGTCAACCACAAGATCAAACAAGCATATAGCAAACAAGGACAAAAATAAATGACAAAACAACCAGGACCTTGAAAACTGTCCGAGAATGGCAGGTATAGAACCCCTGTATACTCCGCGCACTCCAATTTGTGGGAGCTTTGCAATGATATCTGGAAAAGAGAGTGTCGAAGCTTGCACTCGCGTCTGATAAAACCAAGAAACCATCATGATAGGACCTCTACAAGATGCACAATCACGTCCACTACTGTGTACACAAGCGAGTGTGAGCATACTACATAGTATATATGATGGCTACCTCAACGTGTGAGACTGGAAGAGACAAAAGTGTGTACCTTAATACTCTACTTAAAGTTAATTATAATCCACATTGCAAGCCCCAAAGTCAAATATGATTAGGGTGGCTCATTCTTGCAAGGTAACATAAACAACATAGTGCTTGAATGCTTCTGCTAACACTAAGCAATATTTATCATCCCTACAAAAACAGCATAAGTATCTGCCTATTTAATTTTAAAATATTAGCTTAACTCTGTATTTAAGCTCAATAAGCAATTTCAAATGCCTAGGTGATGTTTAACTCAAGGATTTAACTCCTTCTCAAGGGTGTAACATAAATTTGCATCAAGCAAGGGAAAGAATAGTTTAGATCCTTAATGAACTTCAATTCCAAAATATCTGTGCATAACACAGTTTAGTAATCTCAGCATATGTAAATAGCTTTTACCTTTATTGTATCGACTGGGTGCATCAAAGAGGTGGACAGTGCACAGGATAGTCCACCAGCCAATGCAGATTTAAGAACACTTCCAGCAGGTATTTCCACAGGGGGTGCAACAGGAACAACAGTAGCAGCTTCAAACCAGACATTTCTGCTCAAACATTGGCAGCGACCATATCATGCACCATCCAAGAAAATTTGCATAAAATTAACTGCAACAGCAGCAGAAGTTTCTGCACTACATTGACTTTACATTCTTCGTGACCAATTTATTACTTAAATAATTCCCATCCCCAAACCAGGAATCATAGATTGAATTGCTTTCCTACTTATTCTCAAGTAGAGCAAGACATCATATCAAAGGAAATAACATGGATGAATAAATCAATGTGAACTCAAAGCCAGTAGATTCACACTGAGGCAGATCCTCTATCAGCTAAAATCTAAAAGAACTAGAAAGTAAATTACCGCTGGCTTTGGCCAACTTAAAATTTGAAATGTGAGTACGTTTCAAAATGATCGCTCAACTGAACAGAATCTCACCGAGGATCATCTTGGAGTCGATCGGATGGAAGCAAAAGCATAAAGTTTTTGAAATGTCCATATGCAATGGATCCTCGTTTGTCTGCATCAAGAAATCGCATCATAGCATCAGCATTGTCTTCGTTTGCTGGAAGTCCTGCATGTTTTAGTGATTCCAAAATTTCACTCTTCTGGAGTGTCCCAGACTTGCTCAAACAGAGAGAAGTGTAAGCTCGAAGGATTGTCGGTTCCCTCTGTTCCATTAATGATAAAAACTGCTTCCAACCAAATGACTTCGAGAACAAGTGACTCCTTGTACGACGCATGAATTCACGAGCATATCTCTGGGGCAATTTCCGCTTTCTCACAGCAATCTCTAGGTCCTCCAATGTCACTTGGCCATCACCATCTCTATCCAGCTCCTCGAAGAACCTTCTCCCTGAAGAAGCACATATAGAAGAAGGAAAAGATCTTTCAGATAAACAAACAAACCAGAAAAAAAAAGGAGAACGTCAGTTCCAAGCAGGAATCACGCAGAAGGATGTATACCAGATTCTCACAGTAAATATGCTCGAGTGTATTAGCATACCTTCAGATTCTGTGTATCTAAAGAAGTCCTGTACAGAGAATAGCTTCTTCTTGTCCGGATACTCTTTAGAAGGTCGACCAATGTGGGGCACAAGTTCAATAAGCTCTGTCAGAGACACGGTAGACAAAGTAGATTTCAAACGCTCCACATTTGATAATGGAATGCTCAGTAAGCCGCCAGCCAACTTCTGCGCTGAAGTGCCACTGTTCGATTCATCTCTACTCCCATTCGCAACTCCATCGTCGGTCTCTTCTTTAACCGAAGAAGCAACCCCGACAAGACTTGGTGGAACACCTCCCACTCTCGCGAACCTCAAGTTTCCAAGAAAACCATTTACGTCCGCTTTTCGACCTTCCCAGATGCTAGCGACAGCCCTCAGGTGACTAAATTGTTCTGGAGGATCTACTGCAGGGGACGCTTTCGAACCATCGCCCTCGAACTCCTGCTGCACCACTTGATCGAATTTATGAAGGTTCTGTGCCAACTGATCCAAAATAAATCCCAAGAAGCACTCGATCGATTCGAGTGGCATGTGCTTGTCTTCCTTATTAACCCCAACATCTTTATCTTTCTCGGCCGCTCTAACGTGCCGCCGCTTCGACTCCCTCCCTCTCAGCTCAGACAGTGAAGCCTTACACTTTACATCACAACCCCCCTTCTCTTCATCCAAATGTTTCTGCAACCGTTTCTTGCTCCCTTTGAAGGGACTAGGAAATGCCTGGACGAAGCTATTCGCCAGAAACGAGAAATGCACCGCGAACTGCAAGCAATTCGCGCACGACTCGTCACCATCCCTCCCTTTATCCACATCCCTTTCCTTGCCCCCCTTCCTGCCATCTAACCCATCTCGACCCCCCAGATTCTGGGCAAACGCTCCGACGATGTTCTTGATGGGGACTTTAATGGAGAAGCCCTTCTTCTTCTCGTCGCTGACCACGCTCTGAGCGCCCTTCCTCTTCAGCACACCGATCTGGAACTTACCGCTCCTATCGCACCCATCGAACTGAGCAATCAGCTCCACCCCGTTGCTCCCCCTCCGCTTCGAATTGGAACCGGGCCAGCAGGACTCAATGTCCCTCGCGGCTCTCCTGATGCCAGACTCCAGGGGCGACAGAGCGCCCCGGAACGCTTGAATCGTGTTGAACAACGACTCGATCGGATCATTCGCCGACACCATCACTCAGAGACCAGAAATTACCATAGAAAAACCCCCCGCACCAATCCACAAGCCGTAATTTCACTAGACTGCGACCTTCTACAATCGATTCAACGGCATGGAACCACAAGCTGTCCACACCCCCCCCACCCACGCCCAAAGAGGAAACCCTAGCTGTGGAGACTGGGATCGAGCGGTCGCGGTGCGGCGTTCATGTCAACGGAATCCGGGAGCCGGCGGCCGGAGAACTCGGATAAAGGATGGCCGGAGAAGAAGAAGAAGAAGAAGAAGAAGATGGGAGAGCTCCGAGGAAAACGTGAACGGCGGTGGGATAACGCAGGGGGGGAAGGTCCGTGGGCCAGTGGCGTTTGGCGTAAATACGGGGCGCAGGGGAAGGGCAATGCTGGGAAAACGCCACGCTTCCAGCTACGAGCGACGGGGTTCTTCCCTCTGTGGAGAGAGAAAGAGTCGGAGAGAGAAATGCTGTGGGCAGCAAGAAGGAGAGAGGAGGACGAAGAAGCGGCCTTCAATTAATAGAAATCGGAAAAAAAAAATTAATTTTAAAAAAGATTACATTAAAAAGATGCTTCTTTTATGTTTTTTTCGATGATCGAAATAAGAATGGGGGATGGGGGAAAATGGAAATGAATGGGAGAAAAAGAGAGAGGAGGAGGGGGGGATGGCTTTTTTTTTTTATTAAATGTTTATTGGGTGTGGATAACGATTGAGAAATTGATAAAAAAGCTGACGTGGGCATCGTGGGAGTACAATTTTTTTTTTTTTTTCCTTTGTGGGGGGTGGGTGAGCCTTAACTTTGGCCTTTGGGATAGTTTTTGGAGGAGGGGTTAAGTTGGGATGGATTTAATCAGTTGGTATCCAATCCTAGTGTCTTATCCGGATTTGATTCGGATATGATTTGAGGTTACTACGTGTATTCACTGCGATTAAGCGATATGACATTACATGATCCTATCGACCAGCAATTATTAAAGGTCTTGATCGCGGAATTCGATACTCGATACCTTTATAATTGATCCTGTACAAGTCGGTCTCGTATAATGAAAATACGAATGAAGACGCGCTTGGAACGGCGCTTTTGAAATGTCTCATACGATTAAAGATAGGCAGCAAAAAAGAGATTAGTAGAGTTACTTGTCGATTCGATTTGAAGATCGAACACAGATTAAAAGCGTGTATCGAGATGTTTTGAAGAGGAAAGGGGCGGCTAAGAAACATTATGGGTCGAAATTCTTCGTTCTTTTGTTTTTTTCTCTAATGTTTCCACTTCATGTGTTCACCCGAATCTCGCCGGTAGTTGAATTTGATTGTGCTGCGGGACAATGATTTAGCAAAGAAGAAATCTGATGTCCATCCACGAAAGTAAAACCAAAAAAAAAGAAAAAAGAAAAAAGAAAAGGAGTGATAAGCCAGCAAATGAAAACAAGAGATACGGGTTGGATTTCTGATCGCTATGAAGAGAAGAAGCGTCACCCAATCTGACAAGGGGATGACGATAATTCCACGTGGCGTTCTCCATTAATCCCGTACTAGAATTAGTTCGGATCAATCTTTAATCAAAGAGTTAAGCTGGGCGATACTGTAGATCAAGACATCCTATTGGTTTCAAGTTGAAACGGATCAGATCGACACCTTTTCGATCCACTCAAGCTTTACTCAGCAGTGTCGGACAATGCGAGGGAATAAACATGCAAATCTATGAACCTTAACCATACGAAAAACCAAAAGATAAGTGCACCGGAAATTATAAAACTCGTCACAAAAATATAATTGAGTCCTAAAATTTTCAGAAAGTACAATTAAGCCCTAAAACTTATCACAAGAGAGCAATCGAATCTTAAAACTTTTAAAAAATGCAATCAACGGAATAATTCGATTGGAACAATCTGACAAGTTTTAGGACTTAATTGTACTTGGGATTCGATTGCACTTTCTCACAAATTTGGGGATTTTATTACACTTTTTGAAAGTTTTAAAACTCAATTTTAAGACTACTAATGCGCTTATGCAAGAGACAAAAGGAAAATGACACGAATAGTCCCTGAACTTTGGTCTAATGTGTAATTTGATCTTTGCACTTTTAATTTGTTCAATGTGGTCCTTGAATTTTAGCCCAATGTACAATGTGGTCCCTGAACTTTTAATTTATTCAATTTGATCCTTGAACTTTCGGTACGTGTTCAATTTAGTCCCTGAACTATATGAAAATGTTCGATATAATCCTTCAATTAATATAGTTCAGGGACTAAACTGAACACATATCGAAAGCCCATGAACTAGATTGAACAAATTAAAAGTTCATGGACCACATTGTATATTGGATTAAAGTTCATGGATCATATTAAACAAATTAAAAGTTCATAAATCACATTATATATTTGGTAAGAATTCAGGGACTGTTTGTGTCATTATTTCAAAGACAAACGATTATGCCCATGGACGCCAAAGTCGCCTACTCCATTTCTCCAAAGAAAATCACCTAACTCCATTTATTCCTAATAGGACAATTTGTCGCGTTTGATCTGTCCTGAGGATTAGGTGTTCTGTGTCTAATGTAAAAATCATCCTAAACTGTTGGTAATTTGCATCGTGCTTCGGCTTAGCAATTCGCGAGCTGGCTCCTCTTCTTCTTCTTTTTTCACTTTTCAGATTCGCGGGTCAAAGCTTAAGTGGTTTCGACGAAATTAAAAAAAAAAGAAGTAATAATCAAAGGACAAACCGACAAAACCGAAGCAACAAACAATAGCCAACGGACAAGGCCACATCGCATGGAAGCAAGCGAATACGACCAGCTTTGAGCTTAGTGGCCTAGGACGAGGGATTGGCAATGGCCGCGTGGCACTTCGAGCATCAATACGTGTAGGCGCCCAGAAGCATCCGACTCGGCCTTTTTTTATCTCCTGCATGCGCCCCTCGGCCACCGTCCGATTCTTTCTCGCTCTCGTTTTGCCGTTTTGCCATCATCGTCGTCGGATCGTTCTCGCCAATCATGCTAACTTTCTTGCGACGCGACCAGTTCTTTGAATACTCGAGAGTTTCCTCGCTCAACATGGTCGACAGTCACCTCCGACACGACAACACAAAGCTCGTCCCATGGTTTACATGGCCTAAAGCGGCAACGAGCCCCGTAAGAACAGGGCAATTCACTTTTTCAAAGGGCCCAACCTCATCTTGGCTGATGTACATCTGATGTCTCGAAACATCTGCATTATTTGTCATTGACGCCTCCGGGCCACTTACAGTTGACAAAGCACAAATTGAGATGACGCTACCCAAAAACAAATAAATATGACTCGGTATCATCACAGGTTTTACCAAAAGCGCGACTCCTCAGCTCAGAATAATTACTGAAAGACAAAGTTAATGAGTCTCAACCACCTCACGAGCCTCGGCGAGTAATCAGAGGCTGATGTTCTGTGGCGACGCCGTTTTTCTCCGGAGATTTCGTCCGACCGAGCTACCCGGCCAATGCATGCGGTGCTTCGAGTTGTTAGCTTTCTCAACAGATGATATAGAAAGATGCAACGAATTAGTCGAAAATTTAACAAGGAAGTGCTCATTTGCACAAAGCACACCTCCCCTTCAAATAGGAGCAACCCCAAATACTCGCATCAAAATGCAGATCCACTGCCCTTCGTCTTCCCTAGCATGACATCCTTGGCTTCATTGATCTTAGAAGCAAGATAATGACTACCGCCGGCATCCGGGTGATTCGCAACCATTACTTTTCTGTGCGCTTCCTTAACCTTATCTGGAGTTGCGCTCTCCCTGTCAAACCATATTATTAGGAACGAACTGTTTATTCCCAAACTCACGCATATGTCTGAAGTCAATTGTTCAGCATCATATGCAGTTAAATAGTACCGCGAGACCAAGACAATACACAAATGAAAACCAAAACTACGGTCGCCTGTCAGGCAAAATCAGATGAAGGCGCTTAATGTGCATGTAACAGTGACGTCTATCCAGTGCTCTTTCGCACGAAGCTTGGTGTCATTTACTTCCATTACCTCCATCCTCTAGAAAGCTGCCCTTTTTTTTTTTTCCAATTTAATTGATCCAGAAGAGGAATGAAACTGATTCTCTACCTTAAACCGAGAATAAGAGCGGCTTCCCTTCTCGTCATCTTGGGTTGGAAACCACCTTCGTAAAATTTACGCGGTCTAGGTGGCCTCGTCTTGAATGACTGCCAAGCCTGGATTCCATATCTACCAGCAAGCGCGGCAGCAGCCACTGCTAGCCCAGCCAGTAACGGTGTAGCCTGAATGCATGACACAGTCAGTGTACATACGCTGAAAATAATGACTAAGTCAACGAGTCAAAAACAAAAACAGAAGAACTAAGTACTACAGAGGGAAATCAATTTAAATCGAACCGAGGACACTCTTTTTCGCCATTACGGAAAGAATATAAAGCGTGAGAATCATTCGCCAAACGCTAGATAAGAGCGCTGTCGTCATCGATCAGTTGCAAGGACTAGTCACTGGACAAAATCAGGAGGGATCAAGCACTGAGTTTGCACTCATAAGTAGTGACATTTACCAGACTATATCTTGAATTTAGATGTATCACAACATAAATGCAGGACGTGCTTTCTATCTACTTTCAAAAATTCTAGACATTACGGCAGCCCACTTAACCCAAACAGACTTCTTCAAAAGATAACTTGCAAAATCTGACAAGTTCTCATTTCAAACTCCGCAAGCATTGATATCAAACGGAGGACAACAACAAGAAAGAAAGTTTACGAGTAACCCGCTTCCCGCAACAGTCATACAAAGTTTTGCAATAAAAGAAGGAGAACACCCGGCTTCTGCCTCACCATCACCTGCAAACTAGCGGATTCGCCATCGAAGATACGAATCCGCCGAACCTATCCATTTCAGCTCTAATTTCAGATACGAGGAGCTGAATCACCCCGGAACCATAGCTCAAACGATCCAAACGGAGCCGTCCATTGCCAGCAGAGACACATCATACACGAATTTCACACAAACCAATTTTACATTCAAACATGCTGCAGAAACCGAAAGGCCAGATTTTGAGGAACACCCAATAATCCCACGGCAGGAGGGTTTCATAATCAAGGCTTGTTAATTCAGCCCCAAGCATCGTCCAACGGCATGAGGCTTCGAAAGTTCGACCTCTATCTCAGCGAAAATCAAATCTATCTCAGCAAAATCGAAACCCCTCCAAAAAAAAATAAAAAATCATCGTGTATTTTTGCACTTCATATATCGAGCACTTCTGCGCTCAATTAGCAGCAAAAGCGATGGAAGAGAACTTCACATTGATAATTGGCGATTCGTCTTACCATCGTGGAGAGGAATTCTGGAGTATCATTCGACAGCTTCTTCGGTCGTCTTACTGGGTGCGAGAGAGAGAGGGAGAGTCAGTCTCAGCTTGGTACCTAGAGCGAAGTGATACCTGTCTCGGCCAATCACGTGTCAACACGTCACGCGATACCCAGGTTGCTGGGAGTAGCAGATCCTGTCTTCTCCAGCACTGTAGCGAGGCAAGCAACAGTAACCGGGCCGGGCCCCGCGGGCGAGTTTTTTGAAATCTAGTCCAGCCCGAACTTATTGGGCCTGGATTCACGGATCCCAGATTGCTTTGGAGAAAACTCGTTCTTTTTAGATAAATGATTCATGAAAGATAAAAATAAAAAAAAATTTGGGTCGAAATTCATGAAAGATAATTTGCAAGACAAGTTTGGCGATAGGTTTAGAGAATGAGAATTGAATAAGCTGAACAGGCAATATGTGGGTGGTGATAATAGCAATTAGCAATCGGCCTTCCAACTTTGGCCACTCTCTCCGGTTGTTTTTTTTATTATAGCGGTGAATCAAGATTGCCTCTTTCCTTTAGTAGTGACTATTCTCATTAAATTTGGGTGAACAAAATAACGATTTATCTTTGTCGAAACAAGCTACCAAAGGGAAGAAACGTCATAAGTGCTTGGTGAAATTAGTTTGGAATTGTCGCATTTGTGAAATTTGGAGATCAAGAAATAATATATGCTATATATCTCTGGCATGCTCCTTCTATTGATAGTGTTACTTAAACTATTAGATTTACCGTTAGGCATTGCTTTTGAGGGATGTTGAAATATTTGAAGCGAAGTTACTGTTGAATTGGGCCAGAAGTATGCTTTGTTTGGAACATTGCTCCACAGAGGAGTATGAATTAGATGCTTAGCTTTTCTGGATTCGATTTAATAGCTTTGAGCACACCCATTCCGTTGCGGTTCAATTTCTTCACAGCGGCGAACACTGGGAAGAAGAAATGAAAAAAGAGCAATAGATGGACAAAATGCGTAAGGAAAATGGAGAGTTTAATGAGGTGAAGGAAATAGTTTAGAGCTCCCAATTGCTTCACGATGATCTAATGCTTCACTAGTTTTCATTAGATTCATAGACGCGTCATTTCACTTTCACAACCAAAATATGATTTCATCTTGGATAGGAGTTACAACAAGAAATTTGAACCGGAAACAATGTGTCCATGCATTCTCAGAAACGTAGAACTCTGGACGTTTGTCCCTAACCATCTCAAGTCAATTAAGACATCAAACATTAACCCGATGCAATTCCTCCACTGCCGACGGTTTGGACAAAACCCTACCCGGTCTTGGCCATCTATCCTACCACACGATCCAAAGACCGCTACCATGAAAATCATATTATCAGTCGGAGCTTTTTAGCAAAGCCAGCGCAATACTTCGCATGAGCAAAAAGCGCACACGCCAGAGCATTAAGCATATGCAAAATAATAGGAGTCAAATAGAAGGAACTCCCGATCATTTGACAAGACAGTGAACTAAGCAAAAGTAAAAATATAAACCGTCACCAAATCCATACGAGTCTAGCAAATGCAAAATTTAAGGCAAACTAAAATGTCTCCCTCAAAAGGTACTAAGACTAAATGACATCAAAATAAATAACCAAACCTCTCGGCAGAACCTAAAAACCGAGGCCTTTCAAATAAAGACATGTATGAGACACTTAAAATGATAAGGCTCCCCAATCCTGCAATCAACAGCAGCCTCACTTCTTCTTAGCAGCGGACTTTGTGACCTTGGCACCACTTGGATCCTTCTTCTCCACGCTCTTGATGACACCCACGGCCACGGTCTGACGCATGTCCCTGACAGCAAAACGCCCAAGAGGAGGGTACTCCGAGAAAGTCTCGACGACCATAGGTTTGGTGGGAATCATCTTCACCATCCCAGCATCACCGTTCTTCAAGAACTTGGGCTCCTTCTCAAGCTCCTTGCCAGACCGTCTGTCGATCTTGGTCAGCAACTCGGCAAACTTCACAGCAATGTGGCAGGTGTGGCAATCGAGGACAGGGGCATAGCCATTGCCAATCTGCCCAGGGTGGTTCATGATGATGACCTGGGAAGTGAAGTTGGCAGCCTCCTTGGCAGGATCATCCTTGGAGTTGGAAGCAACAAAACCACGCTTGAGATCCTTCACAGCAACATTCTTGACGTTGAACCCAACATTGTCACCCGGGAGGGCCTCCTGGAGAGCCTCATGGTGCATTTCAACAGACTTAACTTCAGTGGTCAGTCCAGTGGGCCCAAAAGTGACAACCATACCAGGCTTCAGGACACCAGTCTCAACACGACCGACAGGGACTGTTCCAATACCACCAATCTTGTACACATCCTGAAGTGGGAGACGGAGAGGCTTGTCCGTTGGCCTCTTTGGCTCCAGGATCTGGTCAAGAGCATCAAGGAGGGTGGGGCCCTTGTACCAGTCAAGGTTGGTGGACCTCTCAATCATGTTGTCACCCTCAAATCCGGAGATGGGGACAAAAGGAATCTTGTCAGGGTTGTAGCCGACCTTCTTCAAGTATGAAGAGACCTCCTTCACGATTTCATCATAACGGGACTTGGAGTACTTGGGTGTGGTGGCATCCATCTACTCAAAGGGAATTTCTATCACATAAGTATTTATCTACACAAATGCCAAAGGCTAGTGAAATAAGATGCAGAACATAACTAGAATACTACCTTGTTGCAGCAGCAAATCATCTGCTTCACACCAAGAGTGAAGGCAAGAAGAGCATGCTCACGGGTCTGGCCATCCTTGGAGATACCAGCTTCAAAACCACCAGTGGTGGAGTCAATGATGAGGACAGCACAGTCAGCCTGGGAAGTTCCAGTAATCATGTTCTTGATGAAGTCACGATGCCCCGGAGCATCAATGACTGTGCAGTAATACTTGGTGGTCTCAAACTTCCACAGGGCAATATCAATAGTGATACCACGCTCACGCTCTGCCTTGAGCTTGTCAAGGACCCAGGCGTACTTGAATGACCTCTTGTTCATTTCAGCTGCCTCCTTCTCGAACCTCTCAATGACACGCTTGTCAATACCTCCAAGCTTGTAGATCAAGTGACCAGTTGTGGTCGATTTCCCAGAGTCGACATGGCCAATGACCACGATGTTGATGTGAACCTTCTCCTTACCCATTATGAGATACCTAAGAGATGGATGACAAAGATGAAGATACAAATTATCCAATTAGACAGCCATTAAACTCCAGCCAGGACATAATCATCAAATCCAAGAGTCCACAGTACAACAAAATTCAGGCAAAGCATCAAGACAGATGAGCACATTCACAAAGTTGTAAAAAACCTGGAAACCATTTCAGACATCTCTACTTACTACATGACGGACAAAAGCAAATTGGAGATTTACCGTGTGAACAGAGTCAAATATAAAAACAAATGAAATCATTCACCATCCAAGCAACTCAGAATAAGAGATTGGATTGACAAAGGCCAAAATAAGAACAAGAATTACATCTGCTGGTAAAATAGAGTTTCACAAAGCAAATTTGGTTTTGATAAAAATTAAAAAAGATATTGCCCCCATGCAGGATCGAACTACAGACCTTCAGTTTACAAGACTGACGCTCTACCGCTGAGCTATAGGGGCAAGTTTTAACATCTTTGAATTTATAAGCTTAAGATAAATTTAGAAAGCAAACCGTAAAGCTCGCAATCTTGAATAAAGCATATATATACAATACAAAATAGATTAAAAAAGTCAAATCAGCTGTTCACAAACTACATAGTTTAACAAATTCAAATGCTCCCACATCACTCTCCAGATCAGTTTATTCAAGAAAACCATAGGAGCTCCACATCTCCTTTCAATCAGTCAACATGAAAAAGAGGTCGGCAGTATTCAAAATTCGCTCAAAACGATCCACACATCCTGCTTCAGATTGCAGAGAGATCAGAGACAAACTCGCAAATGGTTTTGACATAGATCTAAAGAGAATTAACATCACTTGACAGATCGAACGCATGCGCGACCACACACCAACATACGATAAGGGATTCAGATCTAAGTAGCTAGATCCATGCGCAGAACCATCAACAGATCAACCGACTACGATTTAACCGAGAAAATGAGCACAGAAACAAATCACAGCCAGCACATCTCAATTTCACAAGCTCCTCAGCAGCAGCAACAAACGAATAACACCAGAAATGACGAGGACCGCGACGAGATCTAGCACGCAAAGCAATCCAACCTCACACCAAATGACCGGATAGACGAATCAACACTCATGGAAAAGCAAACACACATCGCTCACGACAAGCAGAACAAGAACAGGAGCTCAGAGAGAAATGGAAGCTTTACCTAAGCTGCGGACGACGAAGCTCGAGAAGGAGAAGGGCGAAGAGGCAGAGTGACTGGGAGCGATTGAAGAGGGTCTGCTCCTGCGAGCTGAGCGCGAGCTATATAGCCCCGGCCGAGATTAGGGTTTCTCACCAGCGTTGGATCCAATCGCCCACCAACGGACCGACGGCCCAGATCGCGCCACGTCGCCGCCCATGTCCGAGTGCGCTCGTATTCGATTTCCTCGTGACGGTCGTGTCCTCGGAGCATCCGTACTTTTACGCGGAAGACCTTCGCCCGCAAAAGCCCTAGGGTTTTGAGGAGAGCCGATCTGAACCGTCCGTAGCCCGATCCGAGGGTGGAGCGATAAAGAAGAGGGTTTCAGGACCCCTGACTGAGCACGAGGCCACGAGATTGCCTTCCACAGTGGTGGTGGCGGCAGCGCTGACAAAAAGGCGAAATCGCGCCGAGGTCCCTCGAATGTTCCGAAATTGCACCATTGCCCCTCCGAGAATTCATCTCTAACTAAACAGGCCCGCCAAAAAAAAAAAAAAAAAAAAAAGACAACAAGCAGAAGGAGATTCGAGAAGAAGAAGAAGAAGAGAATCGCTGTGCGTTTGCTCTTGGTGTTTGATTTCTTCAGTCTTTGAGGTTCGTCGCATGCGAGGAGATTGAGTTTGCGAGAAGCGTGCGTTTCTTCCGTTCTTCCCTCGCTTCGTGCTGTTGATTGTTCATGTGGTTTTCGTGGTGCATTGGTGCAGAATCACCAAGTGTTGGAGGTAGGAAAACATCAAGGAGATGGCCAAGCTGGGGAA